TCCTCTCTCTCTCTCTCTCTCTCTCTCTCTCTCTCTCCATCTGTCTTCTGTGGCATAAGCTTGATTCCTGGTACTGCAAGCGAAGCAAACATCCCATGCTTTACTTTTGTTGGGTCATAACCTTCTAAAATTCTTCTTGTGTTCCACTTTGTACTGTAAGATTTCTCCTCCCTCTGTATCTTTTGCCAGCCTTTCTGCTCCCTCACTACTGCTATAAACCACTTGCTTAGCCTCACACAGCCACAGCTTCCAAGCTCTTCTTGTGAAGCTTCTCATGAACAACACCAACAGGGAGTTCCAATTGGCCTGTTCATATCTCAGTTTACAGGAGGGAAGGGTGGTGGGTTTATGTAGTCTTTTGCACTGTTCTGTATCTATGTTTTGTTTAATTCTTGTGCTGTACTCTGTGACAGAAATTGGCATTGGAAACTTAGGAGTGTGGTGGAGAAGTTTCTCTGATGCTTTAGTCTTTTAAGGCGGTTTGATCCAAACTTCTTCTTGTCCTTGTTCTTGATCTTTTGCTTTGGTGTTCAGGCCGAAGAAAGAACAGTTAAAAGAAGGGGAAGAGAAAGCTGAAAGATTGAGAGACAATGGATCTTTCAGGTCATGAAGGAGAGATCCCAATCCCAATAAAGAACACCCATGACATCTCTTCCAGTGGACCTCCTCCTCCCCTCGCCACGGCCACCATGGTAGACTACCACCACCATCACAACCCCTATCCGTACAGCACCAAGAAAAGGTTGGGGGTGAAGTACAGGGAGTGCCTCAAGAACCACGCGGCCTCCATTGGCGGCAACGCCACCGATGGCTGTGGTGAGTTCATGCCCGGCGGCGAGGAGGGGACTCTGGAGGCCTTGAAGTGCTCAGCCTGCGGGTGTCACAGAAACTTCCACAGGAAAGAAACAGAAGGCGAGTCCTCGTGGGGCTGCTACCACCCCCTCACGGCGAGGAACGCCATGAACCAGAGAGGCCTCCTGTTATCCGGGGCAGACGCGTTCGGCCTCGTTCCACGCCCGCTGCCTCACATGATCATGCCCCCGGGGGCCATGCAGACATCCGAGTCCGACGAGATGGAGGGGGTGGGGGACGAGATGGCAAGGCCGATTCTGGTGAAGAAGAGGCTGAGGACCAAGTTCACACCGGAGCAGAAGGAGAAGATGCTGTGCTTCGCTGAGAAGGTCGGCTGGAGGCTTCAGAAGCAGGAGGAGAGTGCGGTGCAGCAACTCTGCCAGGAGATTGGAGTCAGAAGGAGAGTCCTCAAGGTGTGGATGCACAACAACAAGCACCACTTGGCCAAGAAGAGCCCTTCCCAGCTTCAATGACTCTGGCTGCATCTTCTCTCGCCATGGCAAACTACTCTTCCCTATGACACTTTGCAATTCTGAGCTTATAGTTATGATTAGCTTAAGATTCTCTCATGACAGTATCTGAGTCAGATAATAGTATGACACCACTGTCAACCCTACCATATGCTATCTTGGCGTTTAGTGGTGTTAGTTGATAGGTTTTGTCGGCATAGCCTTGTTTTTTCTTCTATTAGTTGATAATTTTCGATGAAATTAAGTTTAAGCGTATGTGAAAGGGTTTGAGAAGCTCATCCGATAATAATTATTTACGTCCATCCGATATCATTTGATGTAAGGAGAAAAGGGGATATAACTCTTTTAACCCATTAAATTTAGTTTATGTATTTTAAAAAATAATTATTTATTTTATATACATTTAATTATAAAAAAATCATAGTTATAATTATTTCGTGGCTAACTATTCAAAACGCTGCCACCGACGTTGAACTCACCTCGATGATCACTAATGCTTCTGTAGGACACCTGCGGCCCGCGGTCTCGCCCGACCACCTCCTCCACCGCCTCCGAAGCTCTCCATCTCTATCGCCAAAACATTTCCTCCAAATCCAAGCCCAGCTCTTCGCCAACCCCACTCTCCGATCCCACCATCGCCTGCTCCCCGCGTTCCTCTCCCGCTTCGCCCCCTCTCACGCCCTCTCCCGCACCTCGCTCCTCCTCCGCCATTTCCCCGGCTGCGACCCCTCGTCCCTATGGAGCCACCTCGTCCGCTCCTCCGCCCACTCCGACCCCGACGCCCGTTCCGTCCTCCTCCTTTACCGCGCCATGGCCCGCGAAGGCGTCCTCCCCGACAGGGCCACCTTCGTGCTGCTGCTTCGCTTCTGCGCTGCCATTCCCGAGGCTTTCGATGTCGCCCGCGCAGTCCACTGCCAAAGTCTTATCCTGGGTCTCGCGTCTGACCGGATTCTGATGACCGGATTGCTCATCTTGTACTCCAAGTGCGGCTGCTTGCGCTCTGCAGAGCAGGTGTTCGCCGGAATTCCCGAGCGAGACGTGATCGCCTGCAATGCGATGATCGCGGCGCTGAGCTGCCACGGGCGCGTGGAGGACGCGCGGAGACTCTTCGAGCAGATGCCAACCCGGAGCTCGGCGTCCTGGAACTCCATGATCACTTGCTACTGCAAGCTGAACGACCTCGACTCCGCGCGCGAGATATTCGATCGGAATCCGATCAAGGACGTCGTCTCGTGGAATGCGATGATCGATGGGTACTGCAAGATGGGGCAACTGGCGAGGGCTCGCGAACTGTTCGACCGGTTGGGGTTGGCGAAGAACTCGGTGACATGGAACACTATGATCTCCGGGTATTTGCATCGCAGGGAGTTCGGCACTGCGGTTTCCATGTTCCGGTCGATGCAGATGGAGAATGTGAGGCCTACCGAGGTAACTATGGCCAGCCTGCTCTCGGCCTGCGCACACTTGGGTGCTCTCAACATGGGCAGATGGATTCACGCATACATCCGAAATCACCAATTGAAGATGGACGTTGTCTTGGGCAACGCACTCATAGATATGTACTTCAAGTGTGGATCCGTGGAAACTGCTCTCGAAGCCTTCCGTGGGATGCCTACCAGGAACATCTTCTGCTGGAATTCCGTCATTGCAGGACTGGGGATGAATGGTTATGGTGACCGAGCTGTCGCAGTGTTTCATGAGATAGAAAAGATGGAGAGGATTAAACCGGATGGAGTCACATTTGTTGGGCTCTTGTCAGCGTGCAGTCATTCAGGGTTAGTGACCCAAGGGAAGAAATATTTCTCTCAGATGCTTGATCTATATGGAGTAGAGCCCAAGATCGAACACTATGGCTGCATGGTGGACCTTCTCGGCCGGGCTGGCTTTCTCGAAGAGGTATTACATCTTTTGGAGACGATGCCTGTTCGGCCTAATGCCATTGTCTGGGGAAGTCTGCTTCGTGCATGTCATATTCACAAGGACAGTGAGGTAAGCGAGAAGGTAACCCAACGCCTGATGGAGTTGGATCCAAATGATGGGGCTAACTATGTCTTTCTGTCGAACATATACGCGTCTTCGAATCGTTGGGATGATGTGGAGAGATGCAGGAGTATGATGTTGAGAAGCGGGGTGCGTAAAGTGCCCGGCTGTAGTTCGATCGAGGTGAACAACATGATTCATGAGTTCTTGGTTGGTGATGAGTCGCACCCGCAGTACGAGGAGATATATGCTTTTATGGTTGGAATTGAGAAGGAACTGAGGAAACTCGGGTATCGACCGAGTACAGATTGTGTGCACCATGACATAGAGGACGAGGAGAAGGAGAGTGCAGTGATGTATCATAGCGAGAAGATTGCAATTGCTTTTGGGATTATGAGCACGAGGGAGAAGGAGCCGATTCGAGTGGTGAAGAACCTCAGAATATGCAGTGACTGCCATGGAGCAGCCAAGCTGATAGCTAAGTTGTTTGATAGGGTGATTATAGTCAGGGATAGGAACCGGTTTCATCACTTTAAGAATGGGACGTGTTCCTGCAATGACTACTGGTGAAGATAAGTGATCGCTGTATTTTAACACGACAGCTTCGAATGTAGTTGCTGAACAGTTTCTCGTCAAACTTCACTCCGTAGCAAACAAATGTCACAGTTGTTTTGTTTTTGGTTATATCTAGTCCTGTCTCCAAAATTGATTATTCTTAGAGATCATGAGACAGTCTGCAGCAGTATCGTGGAACAATCATAGTTCTTTGATCTCAGGTTAAGTATGAGCTAACAAATTTAGAAGATCCAAAGAAGGTTCGCAATTCGGTTCAATTTGTGGAGAGGGAGGTTGTGAAGGCTCTAAACTTCTTTAGATTTTGCAGATATTTGGTCCCTCCTTAACCACCAATTCACTAGAAAAGAATCAATGATGATCTGCAGTATGATGGTCACGTCAAACGTGCGACAGCAGAACATATGCAGAACTTAAGGACAATATGAACCATTAAAGTTCTCACCTGGTTAATGTGTAAGGCAACACAGGGAAGGACCAACAATCCAGCCTCACCAAGTGCTCCCTGAAGCTGCTCGACAACAGCTACCAAAACAGGCAGAGTTTTCTGCGAGATGACACAAATGTGTGAATTAGTTGAATGTAAAAGAACACACTAAAGCCGGTATTGTCAAACTGAATATCCTGTCTATCCTCTAATCTGTGACAGCAATTATTCGGGTTTACACTAAGAACCAATACAAGTAACACCATCAGTCTTGATTGCATATTGATAAGAAGAAAGCTTAGTGTTTTGACATGAGATTTAAAATACAAACAGAAGCATTTGTCTAGACATAGGTGCAGGTGAAAAGGTAAGGATAACTTGATGTTCACTTAAAGCAGAAGCTCCATCCTTAGCTCCTTGCTGTACGACAGATGTATTTCATAGTTCCAGCACCATTATTTAGACCAACAATAAGCCAACTGACATTATAGTTACGGAATGTAATAACAATCACATTTTGGCTAGTGAAATTGGAAGCATTTCCACTTTTTTGTCTTTCTATATTTATGGTCATTGATACCTGCTATAACAGAAAGAGAAAAAAAGGCTTGTTGTTGTGTTTACGTGTTCATATGTTTATGCTAATATATTTCATATCCCTGTCGTACTAGCAAACATAATCTAAAAGAGATATATGTAGATAATACACATGATACAGCAGCTAGATAATGGTTATCATAATAAGTATGATATAACTGACCTGACTAGCAACTATTATGACAGCTCGTAAATTTTCTTTCTTTGAGAAAACTGATTGGTCACCGCCAGAGACTACTGAGAGACTTCGCACTGCAATGGTGTTGAATGCCAACAGAACGAAATGTAGGAGACTGCACAAGGGCACTGAATTTATGAGAAATAGGCAAATTTCATCAACCAATCACCTTTCATTTTCATATGTTAACCAGATGTCTTAAACTAAAATTAACTCATATATAATCATAAAACTGTTCATAATGGCTATCAAGTGCTCTGACTAGTCTAGGAGAGGCTTTTTCATCACCTGCAGTATCAATCTAAGCGAAGGAAATTAAATACACTCACCTAACCCTCAAATTAGATTGACCGACTTCGGACGAAAGGGGCATACTTCCACTGTCAATCTACCACTTCGCATGGACTCCCCTATGAGACTGAGTTCATGTGAAGTTCCAAATTCCATGAAACAATTGAGATGCCCCTTTCAAATAGGTCAGCCATAGGCATAGAATCATTGCAAAAAAGTTGCTATTATTGCATATAAAAGATAAAGGATTTAAAGCCATTTCTGGTTTCACATACAAAGGTCTTAGACATAAAAAGGACGTACCTAGTGCATGAGGCTTCAGCCAATATGGGGTCCAGGGAGTGTATATGTATATACTACATAGTACCTTTAAATATTTAAACAGATTGCTTCCGTGACTCGAACCCTAATCTCCCAGATTGCAAAGGAGCAATCGTACTGTTGTACAAGGGTCTTAGACATATAAAAGAAAAATATGACTTAATGAAGTTTTAAAGGATGGATCTCCTAACCATAACCAGTGTAAAGGTGTTTCTCCTATTGACAGAATCAGATCATATGTAACAGGCTATTGTAAGGGTTGGCCCAGTGTGTGCTTGATGCTTCTAATACAAGGTTTCGGAAGGGTCAGTGTTCACAGTATTGCCCTTGCAAATTCAGAGGCTGTTTCCATAAAGCAAGCCCTTGACATCAATGACCAAGTAACCTTATCGCGATGGCAAGGATATTGTACCAAATATTCATCTACAGCCACAAAACACCACACTATTTGTGAAACATAAGTCAGTGAAGAACATACATTCCCATGCCAACTGCAATAGCAAAAATTGCTGGCTTAACTGTTAAGAGCAAAGATCTTGATCTGCTCACTTGCATCCATGGCACCTGAGGAGAAAAAAAAATTGAGGAAAGAATAACAGAAAGCATGACCATACTGTTATATGGACACTTTAGCCTTTTGTAACTAATCACCTAAATGCAAATTTCTACAAATGCATAAGCGAAAGCAGAAACATAAGCAATAAGGTTATCTCATCTTTTCTCTGTTGCTTTAATAATCATTTCTCACTTTTTTTGTCTTTTAAAGGCTACACCATCAAATGTACAATGTATCTTTCGGGCTAACTATAGATTGCCTCCCGTAGTTAGTTACCTTTAGCGTTTCGGTCTCTATACTTTAAAAAATTACATTGACATCTCTGTAGTAACAAAAGTGAAACGATTAGGCTTATTTACCCTAACGAAGTCAACAGAAACATGAAAATAAAGGGTAAAACAGTAATTTTAAGTTTGGTGGTAGACGATATCAATGGCAGATGGTGACACCGTTGGCAGTGGACCCCTCCCCCCTTGTCCTCGGCGTTGAGCAGCCCTCACCCTCCGCCTCCTCGACCATTTCCTCACTGCTACCCCCTTCGCCTCCCCCCTCGTCCTCCCCTTCTAGTTCTCCACCCTCACCCCCAACGTCAAGCACGTCCGCCACCTTTCCCACGACAACTCTGTTGTCGCCCTCATCCACGACCATTCCTCCCTCCGCCCCGTCGTTGTCTCCTGACCCCGTTCCCTTAACAGCAACAGCATCCTCGATGAGTACCTCGCCAGCAGCGGCACGATCTCCTTAAACAACGCTAGATTGTGTTGTAGCAGGTTCAGTCGCATCTCCCTCGGGATCTGCTGAGCGCCGGCCGTGATGATGCAGATGTCCGAGTTCATTGTCACAGCGTATCCAGGTGTGTGGGAGAAAGGCCACGACGTGCTACAGGTCCAGCATCTCCCCCTGCAGCTTGTCGGTTTTGGCGTCCACTAGCGCCAGCTCGTCCATCAAGATCGTTTGGGCGATGGCCATGCCCACATTCCCGACACCGATCATGGATATCTTGTTATGACGCTGAGTCGGAGACGACGATGCCGCCTGCTGGATGGGGCGGAATAGGGTCCTGTGTATGTCATAAGCGAAGTTGGGCTCCGAGAGAGATGACACATTCTTCATCTTCTCGAGCCGAAGCTATGCATAGGTTGGGAGCAAAAAAGGTGGCGAACGTGGTTGACATTAGGGGAGAGGGTGCAGAAGGAGAAGGGGAGGACGAGGGGGAGGCAGAGGGGGTAGCGACGAGGAAGTGGTCGAGGAGGCGGAGGGCGGCGATCGCTCAATGCTTGGGACGAGGGGGGAGGGGGAGGGGTCAGCTGCCACCAACGCCAATGATGCCGCCATCCGCCATTGACATCGTCCACCACTGAACTTAAAATTACTTTTTTTATCCTTTATTTTCATGTTTCCGTCGATAAAAACCGACGTCGTTAAGGTAAATGGACATAATCGTTTCACTTTCGTAATTACACGGATGCCAATGTAACTTTTTAAAGTATAGGAAACAGGACGCTAAAGATAGGTAACTACAGGGGGCAATCTGTAGTTAGCCCGTATCTTTCTCATGTTACATACTAATTAAATTTACCCATCTTTCACATATCTAGCAAGTAAATGAATCACCTGCCTTAAGAAAGCTTCGATCACTAGATTCAACATATAAGTCTAGTTGGAATACTTAAGATTTTGCATCAGAATTTCCATCAACTCCTCCAGACTACTTAAAAGGCCCAATATTGATAGCACGGTTTTAAAGACCAATCAGTTCAGTTCGTACTATCCGGTATTTATCAGTCTGACTAGGAATTGGCACTTGAACTAGGCAATTTCACCCAATCAAGTTCGAAACTGGGTTCAGATCCTTTTCTTTTTAACTTGACAACAATAGCTGTCTTTTTTTGTTATTTTCATCGCCTGAATCCTTGTTTGAGAGAGAATACTACTATAGAACCTACTCTTTATATATGAAGAAATAGCAGCGCTTGTAAGCTATTCATTGCATAGGTTCACTAGTTCTTCTGAACTTTCTTCTCATACTTCTGCTTGGTAAAAGAGACTTCCAAGGTGACTTAGAGTCCTTGGAGCTCTCATGAGAATACCACTTTAATTTTTAAATAAACCAATATAAGTTACAGTCAACAGTTTTACACTCTACTGGATGCATTCTAGTAGATACAAATATAAAACTACAAGAATTTACAAATTATAAAGACTTACTAGACCAAGAAGTATTGCGCTAATCATTGAGAAAGACCGCCGATTTCGATCTACATATTCTGCCACACCTGAAAAACAAAATACCATGACATTTTTAAGTTTTGATAAACATTCCAGTCACCCATCTTAGGTGCAGAACATAGAAGCAAATAGCTTCCACGAAGCTTAAATGATTCACTACTAGCTAATGTTTATCTACCTTAATGTTCAACATTCCTTTTCAAATATTTACTAAAGCAAAATCTTATGAAGCATAGATTTAAGCAAAACACCTTCCAGGTGGGCTCACATGACAAATGGATGCGATCAGAGTCATATTGCTGTTATTAGAAATAATGAACTTAGCATTGTTGGTTTTTTTCTTTACTATGGCCAAAATGTGATCATTCAAAAAAGGGATATCTGATTTGCTGAGAAGATGAAAATCTTGATGATGCCAAACCTGTGCAAAGAGAATATTGCTGTGTAAGGACAATTGTTCCAGATCTTTGTTTTTCATATTTTCTCTGTAGTTCTTGGTCTAAGTTAAAATGACTAAATGTTGAACGTGATTCTGAGTTAGTGGGGTTCTTTGTTTATTTTTGGTTTCCCCTTCCAAAGTTACTATATGTTTCTACATTTAATCTTCTGAGTTGGACTGATTCTTTTGTTTATTCTTATGTACATTAATAAATTAGTGTTTCTGCATATTATATTAAATAAAAAATATTATCAACAAAAAGCACACTTAAATAGAGCCATTAAGGATCAGTCAAGTTGATTTAATATTATATTAACTCAGTTAAAGAAAAAAATTCTTAACTTAGTCAAGTTTGAAATGGTATATGATTTAAAGGAAAACCAACTCAAGTGGGTTTCCATGAGTCCCTTTGACTAGTCAAGTTTGCCAAATGGTTCTTCAAAGTTGATATTTTCTATATATTTCAATTAATTCGAGAAAGATAAGATATTGAAAGGTTTTTAAGAGGGGAACTTTAAACAACAAATCAAAACTGGTGCAAGGAACACAGCCATAAATGTTGTACTCACTTTTTGATGAATCACGAATGACCTGCAAATATTGGAGTATATAAGTTTCTTTTTTTTCTTATCCTCAACATTATAAGTAATCAAGCATCTAAAATTAACAAGCAACTGATCAAGTAAAAAAGTCCAGAAGATCAAATTCACAAAAGACAGAAGCTGTATAAGGTGATTATGCCATTTGGTGATATGATGTGAATGGGGCAATAGCTAGTTATCTTCACATGATATATGATAGACATATGTGGCATTTCTAATGGTACAGCACCAATAACAACAACAATAAGTCAATAACAACAAGCCTTTGTATTATAAATTGGCTGTCTTGATCATTTATGATCATCGATCTCTGATGAGGTTTCACTATATAATCGAGGGCTTCTTAGTTAAAATGGCTACTTCAAAATAAAATGTGTTACATGCTGCTGTAATGCAGATTGCTCTCCGGTGTAATAGGATTGGATATACATCTGCAGATGCTGGTGCAGAGATCACTCTGAAGCAATTTTATTTTAGCAGAGTAGCAGGCTCAAGATACATTCACAGACAGATTTCAATAAATTGGACAGTGAGCTTTTTAAATCAGACTGTGAACACCAGTCTATGAAGAACTGATGTTCACAGTCTATGAAGAACTGATAATTATTACGCATGACATTTTACCAAAAAGATGTTATTTTTTAAAAGGAAATAAGTTGCTGAACCCCAAATAATTCATATCTTCAGTTCCATGATGTCAAGCAACTTGTATATAGATGCCTCTTGCAGAAAGTCTTTTGAGTACGAAAGTAAGTTTTACTTGGTCTAAGTTTAGACCACAAGTTGTCATTTACAAGAGTAAGACAAAGGACAAAAAGCAATTTTTCCTTCGAGATACTTTCACGATAAATATCAATATGAATTAAATCTAATCACTATTTTCCATTCATGATATATCATTTTACATACCTTCCCTATAACAAGAGGAACTAAGAGCATCATAATAAGGCTTTTAAATAATTGTGCAGTAGGCACGGATATCCCAGCTCCTGCTCCTATCAATTTTGAAAGTGAAAATGGAACCTAGGATGTTAATAAGTTGAAAGTCAGTCCATGAATATTTAGCTTCAAGGAAGCAGTTTATGAGCATATAACTCAAAGAAGATGCTAAAACAACAATAGTAAACTAAGTTCCATCTAAGGTTTATCTCATATTGACTAGTAAAAGATGCATAATGCACTCTAAAGGTCCCATTTCTCCATCTGCATGGATGAAGTAAAAGTTCATGAACTTTCTTCTCTCATCAATAATCAGTAAAAAAAGGATCTATTACAATGCATAAAATATATGTTTGTGTGTGTATGTTATCTGTCTTAAGTTTGTGTAATCTTTGTGCAAAATGTATTTTCCTGTCATATATTGAATATGTTCATTGTTCTAATTTGCATCATGAGGTCTTTATAGAGGCAAATAATGTACATGCAATCAAACCATTTCCAGGTTATTGGAAAGTGAACTTACTGCCTCCCTTTCATTTTATTTGTTTTACAACAGGGTTAACCCCTTGCATATCTTGACATAAAAACATTAAATATGTCGATTTAACCCACTCTGTTGTCTCTATGTCTAAAAAGTCAAAAACAATTATGCTTCTCCTTATTCATTGACGTAGATACCCAGTTATGTTTTTGAGGAATGATCAACCAAAACCAGCAGTTAGAAGTTAGTGTTCTGTAACCTGAATACCTCAGAAGTTCAACTCAGTTATGTATGGTAAGAAGATAACGAATGAAGTGCCTGCTTTCATGTAAAAGGCTATCCTAGGCATGAGTATAAATTAGCATGGCCCCAAACTATATCATGATATGTAAAAAAGAGGAGCACTACTCACAATAAGAATGCCTAGCAAGTTAGAGAGCACTGTCATTGCAAGAGCAAGAGCAGAATTACCACCAACAAGCTGCATTAGATACCATATTGTGATGCCATATCAAGACCTTTGTGATAATGGTTGAACAAAATTACTGCAGAGTTAAATTAGGGGAACTGACTTGTGTTAATGCAACTCCACTTGACAAGGTTGTTGGCATGCAGCAAAAGGCAGCCAATCCTGTAACATAACATATTAACTAAAGAAACCAGTACAAGAACTTAAGCAAAAAGTCAATGACCAGGAAGAGAATCTGACAACCGATATAAGGTTAACAAAAACTATAGTAGTAAACTCACATACCAGTGATTAGTTCATGAGGTGTGAGCTGAATTTGTAGAACAAGCCTTGAGAAAAAAGGAGTTATCAGCAAAATTGAACCCTACAACAACAAACCAGAAATGGAACAAAAGTTGCCAGTTAATAGCTGCAGACTAACAACTAGAAGCAAAAAGTAAGTGATAAATCATTCCAAAGATAAAAGTTTCCCATCAGAATCCTAAAGTAATTATTCACAATTTTAGTTTATTTGAATTATGGAGAAAAGAAAATAAAGACTATATCGTCATGACTACAGAGTTGTGATGGTTCCTTTTTCGTCTTAAATTGGATGCAAGAAACAGTTTATCAGAATTATGGAAAAAAGAAAATAAAGATTATATAGGCATGACTACAGAGTTGTGATGGTTCCTTTTTTGTCTTAAATTGGATGCAAGAATCAGTTCATCAATTGAATAATTAACCCCGGAACTTCTGTGCTACTACTATGTTCATTTTACATGCAAGCCAATAAAAAAGAACTTACAGGAGGTAAAATGACGAAAAAAAAACAGTCCACTAGACAAGAATATCAATCAGAAAAAGAAGTAACAAATCAAAGATGACCCTTTGAGCCAGACGCCAGACTCAATAAACAATAGCATATTCATAGAGCAAAGATTGGTCACTCTGGACAAGTAATCTGTCATTTTATATGTGTATGTTTCTCCCACTGTAGAAATTAGTAATATATATCTCTTGTTTGAGAAGTTTGTTGCCTATCTATACTGTTAGGATCGAGAGCACTAAGAGGGGGGGGGGTGAATTAGTGCAGCGGAAATCTTTTTGCGATTAAAAACAAAAGCTGCGTTCGTTCGATAAAAATCAGTTTTGAAGCAAAAGCCGACTCTAAGATAACTTATGATTGAGTGCAG